GTGTGTGTGTGTGAATGTGTGTGTGGCACGTTCGCAATACACCTCCACACATGGGAGATGGAGAAGACAGGGGCATAGAAGGTGGGGGAGGTGTAAGGGGGAGATGTTTCTGAGGTGGGAAAAAAAAAAACAGATCAGAATTGTATGTCAGCACCATCTCTTTTACGAAGAAAGGGAAAAAAGGGGAGCGTTTTTTTACAAAGAGATGGCGCTTGACACCGCTTGTTAAAAAATTAAAAACGAGAAACGAATGAGAAAGCACTGGCCAATGAACTGGGGGGCAGTAGCCTTTTTTTATTATTATTGAGATTAAAGTTCATTAAACATTGAAGTTGGTGTCGATTTCCAGACTTTTGGAGCGGGGTGACGCCGCGTCGACATGGCAGTCTTGACTTTGCAGAACGTGGGAGGCAGTTACAAAAAAATTGGACGGTTAAAAATGAATAATAATAATTATAATAAAATTGTGTTTCATTTTGAAACCACAAAGACAAAACCATTAAAAAAAAAAATAAAAAAAAATGCTGTCACACATCATAGAATAGTTTGCTAGTGGGTCCAGAGGCCCCAGGACCGGCCTCATTGTTTATTGAATTTTATTCAAATAATGAAACTGCAGCTTTCGTAGGGGGGAAAAAAGGAAGTTTATTCACATAATGAAACTGCAGCAGCTATCTTAGGGGGGAAAAAAGGAAGTTTATTCATATAATGAAACTGCAGCTTTCGTAGGGGGGGGAAAAAGGAATTGCACTGGTCAGGTGAAGAGATAGTCATTCTGGAGGAGCTGTGAAGGTTCACAACAGAGATATTTGGGGGCAATCAGTTGCTGAAAATGTGACACGTCAGCCTACCTTCATATGCGCACTTGTTAAGAACAAAAAAAAAAAAAAAAGAAGCCTGAGTTGTATGCAAAAGGCCCCTTGTCGATTTTACAGGGTTGCGAGAAAGGATTTTATTGCCATGCTGGGGTGCAGCAACCCTTTTAAACAATTGCAGTACCCAAAATGAAGATGCTGAAGATAAGTTTAAAATTTATTAAGTAAAATAACATTGATGGTGTCTTTGTACCTGGGCATTTGAAAAATGTAGTGTATGCGAGTGGACTTTATTTCCTCCAAATAATAGTACCCTGAGCTCCTCCTCTGCTACCCCCACCCAATCACCCAATTCCCTCTCTCTCACTCAACAACATCCTCCTATTTATTTTTGAATTTTGATGTGTCCTTTAAACTCCTTTTGCTTTTTCTCTGACTTTCTGAATGTCATCCGTGATTTCCAAAAAACAAAAACAAAAAAAAAAGTCATCGGTGTGCAGGGACCTAGTCCCACTAGCAGCGTGTTTCCTCAACCCCTGAATCTGGACGTGTTTGTGGATATGTGTAGAAATTGCATAGAGTTTTCGCAACTGCACATGTCCAGGAACACGTCCAGATTAAGGCGTTGAGGAAACTCACCGCTGCTAGTGGGACCTGGCCCCAGGAGGGGCAGTTGTTACTTGTTCCCCGTGTTCTTTATCTTTTTTTTTTTTGTTTTACCACCTCTTGATCTCTGCTTTTGCCTGCTGACTGTTTTACCATTCCGTTACTTTTTTTTTCACCTCTCTCTCTCTCTCTCTCTCTCTCTCTCTCTCTCTCTCTCTCTCTCTCTCTCTCTCTCTCTCTCTCTCTCTCTCTCTCTCTCTCTCT